GGGGAGTTTACTTGTCGTTTTATGAAAAAAGTTTCAGATAAAAGTTGTTTATTTCAATGATATCTAAAAAAAACTATTCTTGTGTTTTTTTCGAAAAATCAATGTTTTAGCTTTAAAACGCCACCAAAGTTTAACACAGAGTATACGTATGATAGCTGTAGATATACACGTGTGTTAAGTTTAACAGCGTTTTACAGCTTGAATATTACTTTTTCGAAAAAATCACATACAAACTTTTTTTTAGATATAGTCAAAATAAATAACTTGAAATATTTTTTCATAAAATCCAAAATAAACTTTCTACAGCTATATAAACAATTAAATTGTTAATAAAAATTTTCCTGACCCGAATTCGTAAAATTGAGTTGCAGATTGGAATTCAGTGTGAAAAAATACGTGCAAAATATATACGTGCAAAAAATACGTGCAACTATAAAATACAGTAATCTGGAAAATCCGTAGGCTGATTCGTAGGGAGCGGGGGGTGAGTGAGGGGCGGGGTCAAGTGGGGCAATTTGATAATCAAAAATGTGGTTGTTTAGAGTCGTTGTTGGGTTGATTAAAAAAATTAATTGTTTTACATGCCGAAATCAGTTAAATCGCCCCCGCTACTTGGAGGTAATTTTTGGGGGGGAAGGGGTGGATTTGGGGCTTTGTGCCCATTGAGACTTTTGATCTACATGTTAAGAACTATCAACCTGCGAAGTTTAAAAAAAATTGGCCGAAACCCACTTCCCTTAAGAAAACTGCGGGGTCCTTTGTAGTATCGATTCTGACAATCGGCAACACTGGCAATCGCTCAGAAATTACCGGCCACCTTTGGTATGTAGGTGAGTCATTCTTTTGACCGCATCTCGATAGTCGAACTCCCGGAGATATTTAAAAATAGTCCGAATACCTATCACCTTCGGCGAAAGAGGTTGTTTGGTCAACATTTTTCGACAAACATATTGATGATTTCAGCGTACCTCGAATACAATACATAAAAGATATTTGAACGTTCGAAAGGCCCTGGTATGATCTGGAATAGACAACTGTAAAATATTTACTTTTTGTGATAAATCTTTAATTCTCGGAGAAAAAATTATAGATTAAAATTTAAATTACAGTTACTAATTACCTCAAAACCACGTTTTTCCTTTCTTGGCAGGAAACTTGTCATCCTTACCCCCCTGACTGCTGAGTAAGTAATCAGCTAAAGCGAAATATTACTTAGTAGCTTATTCGCTTTTATCAGATCAGGAAAAATACTTTATTATTAGACGAACTCCAAAGATAGGCAGTACCAAGTAGTACTTAAATAAATCTTCTAGTAGTAGGTAGATGCGATTATGGCTTTACTTGTCACAGATAGGTACGCAGCGATATACCGACTGGACGTGTAATTATCTTTTTTACGATGTAGAAGGGAAATTGGCGCAATGCGCGACAGCGACTGGTGAAGAAACGTTTACGTGAAGGTTTTCGTTTGATGTACCTACCGCCATTTGCATAGTGGTTTAGTTGGTAGATTTATAAGGAAATGCTTGCATTCTTACGACGACGAATTTGGCTTGTGACCGAATTCACTAAAAAAAATATCACCATTTTATAATGAGGTCGGTGCTTTTTCGAAGTCTCGCTCACCGGAGCTTCACGTGCAGGGAGATCCATAACTGATAGTTGGACGTCATTAGACGAAAACGAAGAGGACAAATAGGAAACCGCAAGCGGTGATCTTTATAGCATGATGCAAATATATTTGACTATAGGCTATGACGTCATCGAAATTATTTTTCCCAGTTTCATAAATTATACGAATCTCCTTTTTCTTCTCAATAGTCTTTAATATTCGATATTTATTTCCTCTCAAAAGTTCTGTCACAAAGAAATTAAAAACTAAATCAAGTCGCTGTAGGTACTGATTGCCGCAAAAACCGAGATACTTTTAACTTTTACATTCATTACTAACATGTTTTAATGATTTTTTGTGCAAATTTATTAGGTACTTACATTAAAAAAATCAGTAGTCAATGAAGAAGTAGAAACGATTCTGGTTTTTGGCGAGGCTCGGGAAATATTCCAAATTATCAATCCGACTTT